AAGTACATCTGCATGTCATTCACGTGGTAAATGGCAACCCAACACTCAAACAGTTGGAGCGCCACTGAAGTCCAAGGTATTTCTGAAATACGCTGTCGACCACTGATTATATACATATGCGGATATTACACCATAGACCACTATACTTTACATCAAATGAATAAACATGAGATGAGATAAATAATAGAATAATTTGATATTGGGAAATAGGCCTTTTTTTTGGTCTTAATAGATTTCTCGGTCGATCATCCTAGTCATACCAAATTTATATGATGCATTATAGATACGTCGCTTGATAGTCCGTATAACACAGGCACCTTTAATAATTACGGTCACGTTCCTAAGAAAAACAAAAGGTAAGCTATTTTCTAATCTACATTGATTTGTTATATTACTGTCACTGGATCGCTGATACTAACTGAAACTGAAATCAGTGTCTATGTACACTATAACTCCGAGCAAAAAATCCCCTGGAATGCGGATTCTAAATTTTGTCTTGGTCAGTCCTGAATTTGAACTACATTTGTCTTGTTAATAATTCATAATTTTGTTAATAATTAATAATTTTGTTAATAATTCATAATTTTGTTAATAATTCATAATTTTGTTAATAATTAATAATTTTTGTTAAATAATTAATAATTTTTGTTAATATTAATAAATTTGTTTAATAATTAATAATTTTGTTAAATAAATTAATAATTTTGTTAAATAATTAATAATCTTTGTAAATAATTAAAAATTTTTGTTAATAATTAATAATTTTGTAATAATTAATGAATTTTGTTAATGATTAATAATTTTTGTTAATAATTTTGTTTAATTAATAATTTTGTTAATAAATAATAAATTTTTGTTAATAATTAATAATTTTGTTAATAATTAAATAATTTTGTTAATAATTAATAATTTTGTTAATAATTAATAATTTTGTTAATAATTAATAATTTTGTTAATAATTAATAATTTTGTTAATAATTAATAATTTTGTTAATATAATAATTTGGTTAATAATTAATAATTTTTGTTAATAATTAATAATTTTGTTAATAATTAATTAATAATTTGTTAAATAATTGTAATTTTGTTAATAATTTTAATAATTTTTTTTAATAATTAATAATTTTTGTTAATAATTAATAAATTTTGTTAATAATTAATAATTTTGTTAATAATTAATAATTTTGTAATAATTTAATAATTTTGTTAATAATTAAATAACTATATCTGTCAAAAAATTGAACTATATTCTGTCAATAATTGAAACTATATCTGTCAATAATTGAACTATATCTGTCAATAATTTGAACTATATGCTGTCAAAATTGAACTATACTGTCAAAATAAATGAAACTATGTTTGTCATGTTCCTCAGTGAGAGAGAAGCTATTTTCCTTTTATGAAATATGGGCGTGGGTAAAAGTGCGAACTAACTGCCAGGACAGTATTAATCATAATTTATCATCCTTTTAATGCCTCTTCCAGCATTCAAATGTACATGTAATCTATTATATTCATAGCCTGTTTGAACACTACCATAGAACATAACATTAATAACGATATTAGTATTGAAATGATGATAGCCTTACCAATGCTGGTGATAATACCGATTATTATTAATTTTGATTGGTGTAAATCACATATCAGGGCCTTGCATCTAACTGAGTGAGGCAGGAACTCGGGGCGGGCTGTGACCTTGACCCGTAGAGATCGTCCTCAGGTCACGAACCATTCAAAAGCCTCTTCTCGCTCGTTTCCCTCACCAGTGTTCCTCTCGTTCGATCACCAAGATGGATAACTTTGAGTACATTTTTCTTATCCGTCTGAGCGTGGGCTCCTCTCAGTGTGGGTCTGACGCGGCTGGATATGCTTGGACGTTTTGGAGACGTTGTGGGGGTGTCCTGAGGACATCATGGACCACTTACTAGGAGCGCCCTTGCCGCCCCCGAAGAGACAGTGCGTTCGACCTCCTAGTGATCTCTCATGGTGTCAGCCTTCCCATGCAAGTTACTGCCACTCCTACCTATCGATAGGTATCTTTCTATCAGTAACTATCGATATCTATGTTTATATAGCTATTGGTAGCTATCTATCTTTATCTATCCAACGATATCTATCTGGCGAGAACGTCTGCGACTGCACGAGATGCAACTCCCTTCGCGCCGCCGAAGTCGCAGGAAAAACGTATATATATAGACAAATGGAAAGCACACTGACTCGTAATTATCATAAACGGTCCTTGAAGACTTAAAGGACAGTCGAGACTTAAGATAAATGTTATTCTTCCTAACGCCATGATGCAACTCGCGATTTAAATAACAAATACTCATTCAACATAACAATACTGATATTATGAATACATGAAAATATATATACTACATATATACACACACGGTGATCTTATGTATACCATCTATATATCATTCACCTCACTCCCTCTACACTAACCTTACACTGCACCCATTCAATCCATCTCAGCTTTCTCCCATTTCTGTGGGGTCGCCGTTATAGATGAGCCGCCTCCACTGATTTTGCTATTACGGTTCATTCCATACTGGTTTTGGGATAGGTTTTTACAGTAGGATGCCCTTCCTGACACTAACCCTCTCTATTTATCCCGGCTTGAGACGTACCCACAATTGCTGGCTTGCCCCTCAGGTGGCTCTTATGATGGACAATAACAAACAAAAATATATAAAAAGTACATCTGCATGTCATTCACGTGGTAAATGGCAACCCAACACTCAAACAGTTGGAGCGCCACTGAAGTCCAAGGTATTTCTGAAATACGCTGTCGACCACTGATTATATACATATGCGGATATTACACCATAGACACTATACTTTACATCAATGAATAAACACAGATAAATATAGATATGGATATTGATGCCTTTTGTCTTAATAGATTTCTCTCGATCATCTAGCTCATACCAATTTATATGCATTATAGATACGTCGCTTGATAGTCGTATACACAGGCACCTTTAATAATTACGTCACGTTCCTAAGAAAAACAAAAGGTAAGCTATTTTCTAATCTACATTGATTTGTTATATTACTGTCACTGAGATCGCTGATACTAACTGAAACTGAATCAGTGTCTATGTACACTATACTCCGAGCAAAAATCCCTGGAATGCGGATTCTAATTTTGTCTTGGTCAGTCCTGAATTTGAACTACATTTGTCTTGTTAATAATTCATAATTTTGTTAATAATTAATAATTTTGTTAATCAATTCATCAATTTGTTAATAATTTCATAACTTTTGTTGAAATAATTAATTTTGTTAATAATTAATAATTTTGTTAATAATTAATAATTTTGTTAATAATTAATAATTTTGTTAATAATTAATAATTTTGTTAATAATTAATAATTTTGTTAATAATTAATAATTTTTGTTAATAATTAATCAATTTTGTTTTATAATTAAGATAATTTTGTTAATGAATTAATAATTTTGTTAATAATTAATAAATTTTGTTAATTTTTAATTATAAATTAATGATTTTGTGTTAAATAATTAATAAATAATTTGTTAATAATTAATATAATTAATTTTTGTTAAATAATTAATAAATAATTAATTTTTGTTAATAATTAATAATTTTGGTTAATAATTAAATAATTTTGTTAATAATTAAATAATTTTGTTAATAATTAATAATTTGTTAATATTAATAATTTTTGTAGATTAATAATTTTGTTAATAATTAAATAATTGTTGTTAATAATAATAATTTTGTTAAATAATTATATAATTGTTAATAATTAAATAATTTGTTAATAATTAATAATTTTGTTAATAATTAAATAATTTTGTTAATAATTAATCAATTTTGTTAATAATAATAATTTTGTTAATAATTAATAAATTTTTTGTTAATAATTAATAATTTTGTTAATAATTAATAATTTGTAAATTTGTTAATTAAATAATTAATAATTAAAATATTTTGTAATAATTAATAATTTTGTTAATAATTAATAATTTTGTTAATAATTAATTAATAATGTTAATAATTAATAATTTTGTTTAATAATTAATAATTTTGTTAATAATTAATAATAATAATTAATTAAATTTTGTTAATAATAATAATTTTGTTAATAATTAATAATTTTGTTAATAATTAATAATTTTGTTAATAATAAATTAATAATTTTGTTAATAATTAAATAATTTGTTTAATAATTAATAATTTTTGTTAATAATAATAATTTTTGTTAATAATTAATAATTTTGTTTTAATAATTAATAATAATTTTGTTAATAATTAATTGTTAATTAATAATTTTGTTAATAATTAATAATTTTTTAAAATTAATAATTTTGTTAAATTAATAATTTTGGTTAATAATTAATAATTTGTTAATAATTAATAATTAATAATTAATAATTGTTAATAATTGAACTATATCTGTCAAAAATTGAACTATATTCTGTCAATAATTGAACTATATCTTTGTCAATAATTGAACTATATCTGTCAATAATTGAACTATATCTGTCAATAATTGAACTATGAAATAATTGAAACTAATCTGTCAATAAATGAACTATGTTTGTCATGTTCCTCAGTGAGAGAGAAGCTATTTTCTCTTTTTATGATATGGGCGTGGGTAAAAGTGAAACTAACTGCCAGGACAGTATTAATCATAATTTATCATCCTTTTAATGCCTCTTCCAGCATTCAAATGTACATGTAATCTATTATATTCATAGCCTGTTTGAACACTACCATAGAACATAACATTAATAACGATATTAGTATTGAAATGATGATAGCCTTACCAATGCTGGTGATAATACCGATTATTATTAATTTTGATTGGTGTAAATCACATATCAGGGCCTTGCATCTAACTGAGTGAGGCAGGAACTCGGGCGGGCTGTGACCTTGACCCGTAGAGATCGTCCTCAGGTCAGGAACCATTCAAAAGCCTCTTCCCGCTCGTTTCCCTCACCAGTGTTCCTCTCGTTCGATCACCAAGATGGATAACTTTGAGTACATTTTTTCTTATCCGTCTGACGTGGCTGCCTCTCAGTATGGGTCTGACGCGGCTGGATATGCTTGGACGTTTGGAGACGTTGTGGGGGTGTCCTCGAGGGACATCATGGACCACTTACTAGGAGCGCCCTTGCCGCCCCCGAAGAGACAGTGCGTTCGACCTCCGAGTGATCTCTCATGGTGTCAGCCTTCCTATGCAAGTTACTCCACTCCCTTTGTTGGGAGGCCATCGGAATCGGATCTGGACGCAGCTTCATGGTTGGCCTCGGTGTCTGCGCCCCACGAAAAGGAGGCGATTTCACCCTCGCCTGCTCCAGTGCCCCCTTCAGTAAGCCAAGAATTCAAGAGCGCTCTCGGCCCCGTCACTGTCACCTTCCTGTCGCCGCAGGTAACCTCCTCTTCAACTGTTCCTGCCTCCTCCGGCCGCAGAAGGAAGAACGCCCACTGTCATCTCTGCGACAAGCGCTTCGAGAGTCGCTACAAGTTAAAGATGCACGTCAATACCCACACGGGTGCTCGGCCCTTCACGTGCGACGTGTGCGGCAAGGGCTTCATGCGACGGACCACCCTCAACGCACATCGGCCCATCCACGACGCCTCCCAGTTCTCGTGTCCCACCTGCAACCGCCCCTTCAAGCGCTCGTCCGAAAGGCTTATTCACATCCTGCTGAAGGTGTGTCTACGGAAGCAAAGAATCCTTCGTCGGACAACCAGCGGCTGGTTTTGTGATGTGTGCAACGAAGGCGTTCCCCAGCCGGAGGAACATCGGTGTCCTGTCAAAGGTCGTCGACGTCAGTGCCCTGTCTGCGGGATGGACTTCGGCGGGCAGCGCGACCACAAGATGTTGACTCATGTCCGCCAGGATCACCCAGAGTTCCTGGCTTCGTTGTAATTGCATGTACTTCCCAGGACCAGTGACTCTTGCCCAGTGATATGTTGTAGATGGCATGGAAAATAAAAATCTATGAATGGTACTTTTTGCATTTCTGTCATTTGAAATATACTGCCAATATTGCATATTACACACCCAACAAATATAACGAACATGGAATGCAGTTAGAAAGGTAAAGAGCGTTGTTAATGAGATCAAAGGGGGAAACAAAACGAAATGATTGAGGGTGTGTGGGGATACGGAGCAAGGAGAGTGTAGGTGGAGTTGAAACGTGATGGTGAAAGGCTGGCAATGCGCATGAAGACCAATACGAAGAAGAAAGGAGGAAATTTAGAAACAGGTTTAATTGGACGAAAAGCAAATTACACATACAAAGACATGGTGTTGGGATGTTTATATTTCTGTTTACATATCTACCTATTTAGCTTTCTCCTGCCACCCTATCTACAATCTATCTATCTATATATATTCGATCTATCTATGTTCCGGCTCACTTATGTATATATATTATATATATATATAATTATATATATATATATATATAATTATATAATATGGTACACACACACACCATAATATATACGTGTGTGTTATCATTATCTATCTCTCGATAGGTAATGGCTATTGATATCGATTTATCCACTGCTGTCTATCTATCTATTGATATCTATCTCTCGATTTCTATATGCTTATTGATATCTATTTATGTTTATTGATATATATTTTTTTGCCTTTTCATCTGTCGATATCTATCTTTCGATATCTGTCTATTTATCGACATCTCTCTTTATCTTTCTATATATAACTATCTATCGATGGCTTTCTATCTAAAATTATCTATCGATATCTATTTTTCCATCTATAACTATCTATCGATTCTATTTTTTCCATCTAATAACTATCTATCGATATCTATTTTTTCCATCTATAACTAATCTATCGATATCTATTTTTCACATCTATAACATCGTATCGATATTCTATTTTTTCCATCTAATAACTAATCTATCGATATCTATTTTTCCATCTATAACTATCTATCGATATCTACTATTATCTACCTATCGATATCTATTATATTTATCGATATCTACTATATCTATCTATTAGATATGTACTATTATCTATCTATCGATATGTACTATTAGCTATCTATCGATATCTGTTATTATCTATCTATCGATATCTATTATTATCTATCGATATCTATTATTATCTATCTATCGATATCTATTATTATCTGTCTATCGATATCTATTATTATCTATCCATCGATAATCTATTATTATCTATCTATCGATATCTATTATTATCTATCTATCGATATCTATTATTATCTATCTATCGATATCTATTATTATCTATCTATCGATATCTATTATTATCTATCTATCGATATCTATTATTATCTTTCTATCGATATTATTATTAATCTATCTATCGAATCTATTATTATCTATTATCGATATCTATTATTATCATATCGATATCTATTATTATTCTATCTATGATATCGATATATTCATTATCTAATCTATTGATATCGATTATTTATCCATTTATCGATATCTACATTATCTATCTTTGATATCAGATATATTTATATGCATTTATCGATTATCTATCATTATCAGTATCAATCGATAGGTATCTTTCTATCTGGTAAGTAATCGATAAGTAATCCTTTCTATCTAATAAGTATCGATATATATCTAGTTTATTATAGCTATCGATAGCTATCTATCTTTATCTATCCATCGATATCTATCTGGCGAGAAACGTCTTCGACTCACGATATGCGAACTCTTCGCGCAGCCGCCCTTGAGTCGCAGGGTCAGCAGCCTCCGAGGGATTCGTCCCGCTGTGTTTCATGTATATTGTAACGTGTGTGTTTTTCTTTGTATGCTTGAGTAATTGGTGTATATTTACGTGTGTGTGTATATGTATGAAGATTACACATACTTTGGTAGTTAGCGTGGGAAGTCGCGGCGCATATGTAAACTAGTTTGTGTGTTAAGGTGAGAGTATATTTGGGAGGCAGTGTTGTGTACAGGTATGCTAAACATGACCGCAGTGTGGTCTCGTGTGTGTGAGGGCCGAAGGGTTAAATGCCGAAAAATAAGAAAGGTGGAGATTTATGGAAAGATAGGGCATAGCTACCCATTCTCTGGCATCTACTTTCGGTCGATCAGTGCCAAAAGCCTTCGTACACGAGACGACGAAGCATTGGAGTTCATATAGATGTATCTGTATTTATAGATATATGAATAGAGATAGATAGATAAGACAGATAGAGATTATGACATAGATAGATAGACAGAAGAGATATACATAGAAAATAATAGATAGACAGAATTGATAGACTAGATATAGTAAGATCAGACAGATAAAGATAGAGAGAGAGAAAGAGGAATAAACAACAGACAGACAAACCGATGGATTGACACACGAATTGACATAGAGACATTTAAACAGAGAGACATCCACAAAATCTAACAAACTATTGTATTCGGAAACAGAATAAGGAAAGGAGACAAAGCAAAAGAGATTGAAAGTCAGAACATACATTGTATTATTAGTATCAAGCGCACACACGAAGGAAAAAGAGAAATGTAGTTTTAAATAACTGCAAATCATAATAGAAAACACAACATATATAGAAACACACAAATTCATTTTTACATTCTCCCACATTTTCTGTTAACTGCAATATTTCCTTTTCTTTATAGTTTCTTTGTAGCCATTCTATTTCTTCCTCATCTCCTGTTCTTCATGTTCGTGTTTTCTGACATCCTCTTTTATCCGGATTTCCCTCTTACATTTTTCACAGTCGTTCATAATTTCTTCTATACTTTACATTCACCTGTTTTATCATTTTCATATTCATGTCTCCCCCTTTGCTGCATACACACACGTTCACTTATTTTTGCAGTCTTCATTTCATTGACCATTTCACTCTATTTTACGTTTAAATGCGTTTTATTAATCCTATTATCATTGTCACAGTTTTCCGTATTTCCTTTACTTTGCGTTTTCCCTTATTAATTTTATTATTTTTACGCTATCTCACGGTATTTATTTGTCCCTCAATTTATCACATTCTATTTTATATTCTACCAGAGAAGAGCATTATCTTATAGATATTAAAGGTATGAAAATTATAAAATAAACTGCAAAGCGAAAGTAGTTCTCTAGATTTGCTTAAAAAAAAAAAAAAAATATATATATATATATATATATATATATATATATATACATATATACATATATATACATATACGTATACATACATAATACATACACACGCACACACACACACATATATATATATACATACACACACGCAAAATCTATCTATCTATATATATATATGTGTGTGTGTATATATATGTATGTATACCTATATATATATATATATATATATATAATATATTATATATATATATATTATATATATATATATATATAATATTATACATATAATTACATATATATATATATATATATATATATATATATATATATAATAATTATATTTACATATTATAATATATATATATATATATATATATATATATATATATACATATAACACATATACTATTTGACTGTGTTGTTTTCAACCTTACATCTGCAGTGCAGCTTGAGAGGCTTACAGAGTTCCCCAAACGTCCTTCGATAGTTCAGTTGCCGTCGATGGTTGCCGATCTGTATTCACTGATAAAACAATCAATCTTTTATTCATTTTCATTGATCGAAAGAAGGCGAAGTATACTTTATATTCAAGGTTATATTCTAGTTCCTAACACTACCTGATCAAGAGCACAACATTCCTTATGGCTTCGATAACACACGAACCAATCTCACCTGACTGTATGTATGTCGAGCTCTGGAACCTTACGAACCACTCCGACATTTCTCAATCACCGAAGGATGTTCTGTTGTCCAATTACACTAATACTGAAGAGTTTTAAAATGATTCTAATTTTGTCTTGGTCAGTCTTGAATTTGAACTACATTTGACTTGTTAATTCATAAGCATTAAAAAATGAACATTTGTCTTGTTCCTCAGTGTAAGAGAAGCTATTTCCTCTTTTTTATGACATAGTCGTGTGTAAAAGTGTGCATTAACTGCCAGGACATTATTAATCATAATTCATCATCCTTTTAATGCCTCTTTCATCATTATAATCTACATTTTGTAGTCTATGGTATACGTAGCCTGTTTTGACACTACCCTGGAACATAACAGTAATAATGATATTGGTAATGAAATGATGATAGCCTTACCAATGCTGGTGATAATAATAACGATTATTATCAATTTTGATTGGAGTAAATCACAAATCAGGGCCTTGAATCTGACTGAATGAGGCAGGAATTCGGGCGAGCTGTGACCTTGACCTGTAGAGATCGTCCTCAGGTCAGGAACCATTAAAAAGCCTCTTCCCGCTCGTCTCCCTCACCAGTGTTCCTCTCGTTCAAGATGGATAACTTTGAGTACATTTTTTTCTATCCGTCTGACGTGGCTGCCTCTCAATATGGGTCTGACGCGGCTGGATATGCTTGGACATTTGGAGACGTTGTGGGGGTGTCCTCGAGGGACATCATGGACCACTTACTAGGAGCGCCCTTGCCGCCCCGAAGAGACAGTGCGTTCGACTCCGACTGATCTCTCATGGTGTCAGCCTTCCTATGCGAGTCTTATTCCATCCCTTTGTTGG